AATATTCAAAACATCAGAATAGGTGAAATCAGAACTAGTCGTAACATTAACGCAAGAAGAGGCGTTAAAAACAGAACGAAAGCGGTCTGCAAAGGCCTCTGCGATTGACTGCGGTTCCGTGATAAAACTCTCTCCCACTTTAATTTGTGTAATCGACTGGTCTTTCTTTTTAAAATTAGAAATATATTTCCAAAAGTATTTTGGTTGGGTTCTCAAATTTTCTTCAATAGTTTTTAACTAAACCAATCTATCTGATTTAATAGTCAATTTAACTAGTTTTAATTGTTGTAAACCTAAAATTTCAGCTCTGAAACTGAAATTTTGTCGATATTAGTATTTTATCCCAAGTTTAAATTCAACATACAAATTTGGAATGCGTCGATTATTTAATAAGATTTTGACCGTATTCTCATCTGCCATATCTGAAGTACCTTATTAGTGTGAAACTTGGTTATGCTTGTTTCTGAAATAACAGTTAATCAAGAGATTTTATGTTATTTTAATGGTCACTGATTCTGTTTCACGTGAATGTTATTTCTACTAGATACCTGCATACAGGCTTTTTTGTATCTTTCCCTGTCTCTTACAGTTCTGGGTGGCTTATGTGGGCTGCAGTTCTCAGTTCAAGGACGCTGTTGAACAAACGTTGGAACAGGTTGACGTCATTAAGCGTCTGATTAACGCATATCCAGATGATTTGCAGTTGGCTACCTCGGCTAATGGTAAATACTGACGTTATTTCATTTGTCTCTTTCTTCTGCCGAACTTCGCTGCCAAATGGTTAATATTTCTGTTTCGTATCCTGAATGTACCGGGTTCTAATCTGGGTCTAGATATCAGCTGCCTTAACTGGGGCTTTTCTTGTTTTTCTATCCCCTCGAAGCAAATACCGGATAGTACCTCAACCGTTAAAAACCGAATCTCATTTAGAAGTTATATTTAAAAATTCAGTTCATTCCTTAAACAAAATAGTACAATTCTCATTTACAAATATCAATTGTTTAATACTGTTTAGGTAACTAACAGTCGTTCCTTCCACATGAAACCCACAGATAATATATGTGTGAAAAATGCAGAGTTACTAATTGTTAAATTAGTTGGTACATGTACTTAACACTTTGCTTTAAACTATTAAATTAAGCCCAAACCCTTTTTTTCCCATTTATCATTCATTAAGAACACATCATGAGCTGTATAGTCTGAGCAACTGATAGCGTCGTTAAATAACCCACAAGCAAACAGAGGAAACTGCCTTTCCTCCTGATTTCTGTCTCTCGTTTTTATTGCCTCTCAGATATATGGAAAGCCTTCAACAGCGGTAAGATTGCCAGCCTAATAGCAGTAGAGGGTGGTCACTCCCTGGATAATCGACTGGCAATATTGAGGCTCATGCATGAACTAGGCGTTCGTTACGTCACTCTCACTCACTCGTGCAATACTCCCTGGTGAGTAGAACTAATACAAAGTTTTAATGAATTTCTTGTAAACTATATTGTCAGTCATAGACGTTTTATATAAACGCACGATTTTTCTGAGTTTATTCATAATTATATTATTCAGGGCGCAGATTTCTTGTTAACCGTGTTAGCCCGGTTAACACATTATAAAAGAAGAATTCTGTCTTCATTTCGTGGTTCAGTTGTACTCCGTGCACTGGATAACAGCTGAACCGTTCGTTCCGAGCGCAAGCCTGAATTAGCTGGTTAACAATGCCCGGCTGGTTGGAGTTGGTTAATGATGCATTTTATTTCATCAGTTCTACTGTGTTTAAGTGTAATGAGTATCATTGAACCACAAAAGTAAGGCAGAAAACTTATTATTTCTTTTTAAAGTGTTATCCGGGCTTATACGACTGACAGTTAACATGAACCTCCGTTCCTGATATTTCCGTGAGCAAAATGTATAAGAATAAATACATAATGAGAATCAAATAGAAGACAGTACCTTGAAATTAGTCATGCCCTCCTCCGCCAAATGATTATATATCAGCAATTTGCGGTAACAACCTGCAGCTCGCTTACCGCGTGTGGCCCCTCGAAACATTTGTATGTAGCCCTTTACATTAAAATAAAAGTATGTATAGTTTTTAATAAATTGTGTGAGAGTAAGGGAAAACAATAGCAAAATCATATTTTAATGAAACAAAGATTTTTGTAGATACAGGCCCACAACGTTGAATTATCCTTATTGCGCAAAGCTACATTGTTCCGCTCTTCAAACCATAAGGAATTTAACTAAACAATATGAAAATTACTGTGGTGGTAATAATTGAAGTTTGTATAATTAACAATGATTTAAAATCAAATTTGTTTGAAAGCTAACAGCATCTTTACTGAACTCAGATGTACGGATAAATATAGCTGTTACCCGTTTTCAAGTGAAAATAAATTACGCTCCTTATGTTAAAAAAATACAATTTCGCTTACTGTACAGGACATTGTTAACTATTTTTCTGCGACCCTTAACAATGATGTGAATAACCAATACATCCCGTGGTAATGAAAGTTTTCGACCCCTGCTCTAGACAGGCAGACAGATACACGCGTCTAATCGATGACTGGAAGTAAGGACTCTGCTCATTCGGAAAATTAAAAATACTTATCAACGATAGGACAGCCTTAAACACCCTTCCTTTCTTCACACTTGGCCTAAAACTGGTTTATTTTTAGAAATCAGTAGAGAGAAACTGGGACAGATTAGTCAGTGTAGCTACTACAGTGGATTTCCGGGGTTAGATTCCCAAAAGGGGCAAGGATTTTTCTCATTGGCACCGCGTCTCTCCAGTGTCCATCCAGCCTCATATTCTGTGAGTACCGAGGAATTTTCTAGGAGTAAAGCGGCCGGGACGTGAAGCTGACCACTCACCTCCATCTGGCGCCAAAGTTAAGAACGTATACAGGAGTATACAGAATATTTTGTTAATTTTCTCGAAAACGGTTCAACCTACAAACCGTTGGTAGAGGAAAAAAATATAAATTAGTGTTCTTTAAAAGTTTAAAATTTCATGAAGTGGAGTTATTTTACAAAAGCACGTCAACCAACATCTAGTGTAGTGTTGCTTGATATGCTTTTGTAAAATAACTCCACTTTATGATTTGTTTCTAAACCATATTTAGACCAATTTTAAAACATTTCGATTAAATGAATTAATTTCCCTGTTGCCACTGATGATGACCTCTTGAGGTTGAAACGCGTATGGCACTAGTGTTTTTATTGTGTTAATATTTTGTTTGTTTGTTTGCTTATTTTATATTGTAATACACTACACGGTATGCAAAGTTTTAAGTTTAATATTTTCAGTTCCTTCCGTTCTTATTAAATTACTTTGTGCGGTTTTATGTTTTTATATTCAACCTAAAATCAGAAAATCTTTGTACGATACACGATTATATGCTTAATATGAAATACGTCATATTACACGAGGCGGGTTTGTTGTGTGGGCTGGCGATCATAAATTTAGAGTAACCGATTATATTGATGAATCTTATTTCATTTTTCTGATTTTAACTTCATTTGAACGTATTATCACTACTTTTTCAATTATTTACTCTTTCTTCGTCCTTAGAGCAGTCAGATATAAGTGTAATAATTTAAATGCGCACATAAACATAAACGAGCTGATTACTAAGTTTTAAATAATTAAATGGGTATAATTGTTGACTTTTATTGTTATTGTTATGCAGACAGCTGCTATCTTTATAGTCCCAGCTACGGCCGTTACGTGTCTTTCCTTTGCTGTTAAGATACAGTAGGGACCAGATTACTTACTAGCCGAGCTCCCTAGTGCTGTGGATAGTTGCACTCGGCACGGCCTGGTCGGTGCACGGAACGGCCGGGTAGAACGAGTAGAAAAAGCGTGGAGTGCGCGCGCAGTGCTTATCACCTTGCTCTTCACCCCCGCGCCAAGAACATGCAAGTAAACTGGTCCTTACTATACTTAGATGTAAAGCCTACGGGTATTATAAATTTAAAGGCTTTTTAGATGACGAATCCGTTTATAGTTGGCCGAGTAGGTCTTGGCATAATCTTTTAATCCTTTCTTATAATTCCAATGAACAAAGTTTATGAAATAAGAAGAAATTCAGAGAATTCGAAACAAAGTGCAGGCAGCAAGACACGGTATGGTAATCTTGTTTAATTGGTTCCGAAATATTTAAATACAAGAAAATAATTAATTTGCTCCATTTTATGTGACCAGCTTTCTCAACAGCTTATCTTTATCACTAACCAAAAGACAAAAGGCCTAATGCACGGAGATTAAACATCACAAATAACACATGCATCTGTTTGCAAACATGAGAGATAAGATGTTATTTATATTGTACTTTGAGATAAAACTGGAATGGGTTGGGAAAGAAAACACATTTTATTGTATAAGGAACAGTAGAAGTAGGTTACATGGCTTAAGACTGGTTTTTGGAAACTGAGAGGAATGCGGGAAAGATGTGAGAAATGAATATGGCCTCTATGTAAGGAATATGAAAATACTGTACATATATTATTAAAATGTTTGGAAACGTAAAAGTAGAGCGAACTGCTTTCAGTAGAAAATGACTTGTGGTTAATGAAGAGATGGTTTATAAGAAAATAAATCGTACAGTTGCTGTGAAAATTAAGAAATAGAGGATCTTACCTGTAAGAAAATTACATGTAAATGGGAGAACAAATTAAGGAATTTATGTTTAAATCGGGGAGTAAGGGGTAGAATTGTAGTTATATGAATGAATATGTATAGTAAGGCAATAGCGTCATTACAGATAGGTATATTAGAGCTGTAAAAAGCCAAGTGTCAGACGGGCACAGCGTCAGCACTGAGATCTAAACTGAACAAATAATTGATTGATTCAAATAACATATTTGGAAAATTCGTATTCTTAGAAAAATGTGTTATTCATGTTCGTACTACGAACTTTGTAAGCGAAAATTGATAAACTTCGACTACATCGTCAAGTTAAACAGTAAAAGTAGGGGAACCAAACTTTGAGTCTGTTCTCTATGCCCATTTAAAATGTCATTTCAATATGTCAGCTAACAAACCCTACAGTTCGCTCTGACTTTGTGCATTACGTTCAGAGACCACATATAAATTGTATGAATGTTCAGTAGAATACAAAATTAAATATTCTGTAATTGAATGTGAAAATCTGAACTTCATGTTTATATGGAGATTATGTATGTCGTAGGGGCGATTCATCACCAGCTGACGACATAAATTCAGGCGTACCTGCAGAGCACAACGGTCTCACTGATTATGGCAAAGTAAGTAATATATATTTAAGGTTTAAATGCGTCATGTTTGTGTTTTATAATCAAAATATATAATACTAATCAGGTCTATACACAAACTTTATTTACAGATGTTAAAATTTAAAATTTAAAATTTGCGCTATTCATCGCTACAACGATGTTACTTTTACAAATATAGTACAATATTCCAAACTTATTTACATATAAATAAATAACTCCTATGTTTATTAATTTTATTCACAGAATAATGAAAAACAAACATAAGATACATAAAATAAGAAGATCAACAGAGCACATACTATAATAATGTACAAAACGGATGAATAAATTGAAAGACTTGCATTGTAATATAAAGTAGTTTTAAAGGAAAAACCTGAAGATGATGCTTCGCATCGAAACATGTAGTAAGTGAAGGCGCAGTATTGTAACATCGTTGTAGCGATGAATAGCGCAAATTTTAAATTTTAACATCTGTAAATAAAGTTTGTGTATACACCTGAATTGTATTATATATTTTGATTTTAAGTAATATATGTATGCCTACGTCAGCAAGTATTGTTTCGTATGACTGTAGAACACAGTCTTCTGTTTTAAGGGAAGAATTCGATAAAAGTATCTGAAACAAAGAACTAAGGAAAATATCTGGAGGGCTGAAGTTATTGAATAATTCAGGAAATTAAATGTCGAGAGGAGATTTGTGATTTATACTGATCAAGACAGCAAAATACAAGTTACGATGATCTGGTTTTTGGCATATAGCTCGGTCGATTGGACAAAAGCTTCACAGGTCTGATAGGTCTTCACAATGGCGCGTTATATTTAATACTGTTGTTTTCTTTACTTTTTCCGACCTTCAGTATTCTTAAATGAGACCACTGAGTTTTGGGAGCTGGCTCGACTCACAGGCGAAAATGCCCACTGTTTGGTCCAATAGAAGGGGCTAATCCCAATCTCAGGGATTTCACGATGAAACAAGTCCAGAAGACAGCAGCATTAGAATACATTTACGGATAATATTTGTAATGACACGTCTTATAATGTGAGAACTTGAAAGTCTGAATACAAGGTAAAGACTGGTTTTAGGGAAACAGGTTGTGAGAATGTTGGCTGGTGAATTAGGTCAATACCGTGGCTGTTGGTAACTTTTGTGTTATCTCTATTGAACCTTCTAGTTCTAGTATTAAGGAGTTAACTTGGGTGTCATTTTTTGGCTGCCAGAAATGTGCACGTGTAAAGTGTTTGAATCGTCAGTTATTATACCAGCAGCCGAATTGCGACTAGGCTACGGGCTGGACGGCAGGGGTTCGATTCGCGGAAGGACATTTTTTATTCACTATCCAGACCCGCTCCGGGGTCCATCCAGTCACTTATTCAAAGGAACCGGATATTTTTACTGGGGGGAAAAACGACTGAGGCGTGAATCTAACCTCTCACCCTCGTCCAGTGCCGATGTTATGAATACATGGAACTTTACCTCCATTCCCGAATACGTACGAATGAAGTAGTGCTTAGTTACGAACCAGGGACAACTTCAATTTCCTTTTGCCAGTTATCACACCAAAACATTTCGCTCCGTCATTTTGTTACTTTTTTCCATCATATTTTTTTCTCTCCTACGTGTAGTTCTGAATATCTTACTCGGCACTGCGTTCTCGGTCTGCGCCTTGCTCTGAGTCCGAGACTGAGGCACTCAGTATATGTTGTACAGGTTGTGGTGAAGGAGATGAACCGGCTGGGTATAATGGTGGACCTGTCGCACGTCGCTTATAAGGTCATGGTCGACGCCATTAATGTGTCCGTGGCTCCCGTCATATTCTCACACTCGTCAGCCTACGCGGTATGCAGCCATCATCGCAACGTACGTGACGACGTTCTTCGGATGGTGGTAAGTAACCGTCTTCCTCATATTCTTATTTTTATTAACCTTTCATTTCTTTGTTCTCTCTCGTCTTCTTGTTCTCTTCCTTCTTCCGCTAAAGCTTTAACGATACTAATTCAACTCTATTATTAGTGTGCTGCATCAACAGCCAGGTGGCCAATTACGGACACAGCTCAAGAGTAGAGCAAAAGTAATGAACACAACAAATTAACAACAATAACATTGCAAAGAAATTACATGGCTATGAAGAATTTTAATATATAAAGGCAACTAGGGAATACCAAGAAAATATTGCTTCGAAATACTTTGCAGAGTAATCAATTGTTTGCTGAATAAATCAGCATCTTTGTAACAATAATTCAGTTAAATTAAGTTTATTTCAGTGCTGTGTGGAGGACGCAATAAAGGAAAAATATGAATTTATACAAAATGAAATTAATATCTAACATGGAAAGTTATTACAGAATATGATCAACAACAACTATATTATGTTTTTTTCTTCTTGTTCTCTATTAATAATTCATATTCTTCTTCTTTCTTTTCTTTTCTTGATCTTATTCTTTTACACTTCTTAGCCTTTTCATTACAATTTTTGTTTTGTCGATTGTAAGGATACCTACTAGGATAATTACAGACTGCTCTACAATTTCAAGGTCCGTCCCTCAACTTCTTCCAACGCTATCTAAAAGGACATTAGATGATTTAACAAAGATTGTATATACTTCGCTTACAAACATTTGACATCATTGCTACAGAACTACTCATAAGTAATACTTCCTTTTAAATTTCCTTTGTTTTTAAGCTGTGGGTTTCATGTTTGAATTTTAACTGTGTTTCTTTTGTTTTTTTAAACTGCTCCATAATCTCAATTCAGTGAAGCAGAGCCATTTATGAGAAGCTATTAGTTTCTCAGCTAGTCAAGAAATTTCCCGTGTTTTATGTAACACGAAGGTCCATTACCGTGTATACAAGAGCCAGACACTGGGCCCTATCCTAATCAAGATAAAAATAATTCATCCTCATATTACTTGTTTAAGATTGATTTTAAAAATTATATTCGCATTTATGGCTATCTCACCCAAGTAATCTCTTTCTTTAAGGTTTTCCGACTAAAGTGTATGCATGTTTCATTCCTTATAATGCGCGTGCTACATATGAAGCCCATCTCATTTTTCTTGGTATTATTCCTATAATTAGGTGTTTGTTGTGCAATTTTCTCAGACTCCTGTTATTTATTGTTGTTATTGTTTGTTTTTCTTGTTGTTCCCTGTGTTGTTCCTGAAATTTATATTATTGTACGTGTTATATTTTTTATATTATCTAAATTAATTTAAATTTAATTCTGCTACATCTGCAATCTTACTTGCTTCCTTCCATCTAACAATTCCTATCACCCTTCGTAGAACTGTGACTTACTCTATTTTAACTCTATAATAACTCGTAATAACTCCATTTCTTCTTTAAGTGCCTTTTTAAGTTCTAATGTGGCGAGATGTGAAAAATTCCCTGCTGCACACACACGTGTTCATGGGTGTGCAGTTATCCATGAAATGATCATTTAGTAACAGGTAGTTCTGCATAATGTTACTGCAGCGACCTTTAAATTTCAGCGTGACAATGGAGGTATCGTGATGGTAAACTTCTATTCTGGTTTTATCAACTGTACAAATGCAGCTGATGCAACGCTGGACGATGTTGTTGGTACGTAAATGATATGGTTTTCATGATGAAAGTTCATCTTAAAGCAGTTCATCAAGATATCTCATTTTATATTTAGATATTAAAGTTGTTCGGGAAGACAACACGCTATTTTTATGAAAAATTTAATTTAAAATTATCAGATCAAGTGACATTTCGACATATAATTTAGGCTTATACACATATATTTTTCAGTTTATAATTCAGAGTTAAAGCCCTCTGAATCTATGTTGTTATTTCGACAATGAGTTTCCAATAGACAGGTGAATCAGTAGAGAAGATATTCAAGACAGTTTAAAATGTACGATCATATATTTTGGTGATAAAAGTAACACAATAATTAAGCGTTTCAGCATTATACTAACTCCATACATAAACTTCGAAAAAAACTTCTATGTAGCTGCGTTTAAGGTCATGCAGCTACTAAAAATGTATGGAACCGGATATTGTATGCATATTTAAACAGAGATATAGAAATTTTTGTATGAATTTGAAGATAACATTAATTCCTTAAATTTATTTTACGTTCCTCGTGTTTTTTGCTAAGTATATGAATTCGCAGAACCTGAATTAAATGTCCCACTGGAGGAATGCAATTTCAGTTCATTACTGCCCGTTTATAGCCCACACGAACTCCAGCTACAAGCAGAATTAAGGATATGTATTCCGGACAGTACAGTTCTCTTCGACAAAGCTGCTATAATGAACACCATTCGCCAGTAATGGGAAGCATAATGGACATCTCTCTGAATGTCCACGTGAAGGTTACTGCATAACAGCCCCATTAGTAAGTTAAACGGGTCGTGGGACATTCAAATAAATCATGTTACGTTTCCGAAGGAATGCGTTCCTACTTGCGTTCTCCGGATTTGCTATATTAGTCCGCACTACAAATACTTTACATGATGAGCAATACTGGCGCCTGAACACGTCGGAAGGAGTCTAAAGAAGACGTCGAAATCTCACGAACATTAATAAATATTGACTGTAAGATTACGTGCTATAAATTTTAAATAATCAGTGGGTAATTTTATAAAGATGCCATATTTCCTGGATTTTAAGACGCCATAGACGCACCCTTGATTTGGTAATAGGTTTTCGAGAAAAAATACATATATTACAATGGGAAATGTCAATATTGAAACATAAAACTGCTTTGTGTTGATACTTTCGGAATCTTTTTTGTTGCTATTTGTGTTTACGGTCCCATGACTTTTGTTATAGATATTAACATTTCCCTTGCACTTCAGTCACGCAATATAATTGTTCTACAAGTATTCCTAGACGCCGTCAATTTTAAGACTCTCTCCGATTTGTAAAATGTTAGAATTTAAAAAAACTGCGTCTTAAAATGTAGACAACTCGGTTACGTATTTTGTCAATAACACTTAATTGTAGACATTTCTTCACTAGTGGTTAATCATCTTTTATTGATTTCACGAATTAAGCCTTCTGACCTACTACACTTCGGAATTGTACACTTACATAGAATAACGATATTCAGAGAACAAAGACTAATTACGTCTGTGCCCTGAGCGGGAACAGAAATCTAGATGGTAGTAATCAGAGTTTCCGAAACACAAAGCATTTCATATTGATAGCCGCTGTGATAAGCATGTTATTAAAATTAATGTCACTTTTACAATAGGCCTATTTCCATAACTTTTTACACCCGCGTAGACCTTATTCAGTCGCTTAATTATGTGAGTATATTATGTTGTTTTGGGACATGAATTTCATTGCTTGGTTATGTGAGTGCTAGTATGTTGTTTTATTTCCGGTGGACGGAATTTTATGAAAATGTTTTAATAGACTAGTCATATTTCAGATTCTGACGGCGATAAGTATGAAAAAGAAAGTTAATTGCATGTTATTCACATTTTGGAAATCAACTATTCAAATAACACAAACAGAATGCGATCGCTGAATAAAAGCAAATTTAGTTTCTCGAACAAAGCAATGAACGACCGAGCAGTGGGCGAACAATACAAAATCATGGAGGAAGTCATTTCAAAAGTAACTGCGATTTTAACTCTACATCTGAATAAAGCACATCAATGAGCTTTGTGTGTTTGTCCTGCTCTCTCTGTCCCCTGGTTCGACTACAGAGATAAATAATTTAGACATAAATTTAATATTAAGTCATAGCTCATTCCATCTAGATACTTTACAACTTTCTGTCAATAACAAACTGGTACGAGAATAAGGAGGTATTGTGCAATGTATGTTTGTATACTGAAAGATTTTGACAGTATTTTAATAACTACTTGTGTTACAGACCACATTAACCACATCCGTGTCGTGGCTGGAGTCGACCATGTGGGAATTGGCAGCGACTATGATGGTGTAGACAGGTCAGTTCACCTGTAACCAATATAATTAGAAGTTTGACAAGACAATGTTCTCGTTAAATATATTATTATTTGGGAATAAAGTTTGTTTACATTATTAAGTTTCAAGTGTCTGCATGCGTATACGCGTCTTCTGATTCGGTACTGATGTCAGTGTTTTCAATTCTACTTGACCGATATTCATGAAACTTGGTGTCATTACATATCACCCTCTTTTTAAAATAATATTACGAGTCAATGTGAACTAACGCCATTTAATCAGTGTCTATGCCTGTGATTAAAACATGGTTCGGAGAACTCGTTCTGTAAAATTTACTTTATAATTGTCGCAAGATATATCCGAGCTTCCTCGACACGTTGTGGGCCAGCCAGCCGAGGTTCGGGGAGAAAGTTGAAGGGAAAGTGCACAAAGCGTCTTGATGTCCCCTTGCCCTTTTCATCCTTCCTACCCTCTTACTGTGATATAGCTCAAGCTCGCACATATTTTGCGTCAGTCTAACAATCTGTATCGTGCGTGTTGCAGGGTGCCCACTGGTCTCGAAGACGTGTCCAAGTACCCCGACTTGTTTGACCGTCTCGCAAACAGTCGCCCATGGGAACCCGAATGGAGTACTGAAGACCTTGAGAAACTGGCAGGCCTCAACCTTATAAGGGTGCTAGAAGAAGTTGAGAAGGTCAGTTACCTGTTTAAATACTAGTTTCCTTCCTGCTTAAGAACTTACTTTCTAAATTATGGCCTTTGCCCTAACACATCTATTTCTCACCTACTTAATTACTTACTCACTACCTACTGCATACATACTAACTTGCTTACCTCGTTATTACCCACTTACGTAATAGCCAAGTTACTTACTAGGCTGATTTCTTTCTACCTAAATTTTGCTAAGATCGCTGCATTTTCTTCAGTCTTTGGCTTTGATTACGGCTGTGGTATCATTCATTCTTATTCAATTTCTCTAGCATTATGCTTTGAACGCATTATTCTCACCTTCATCTGAGACACAATTCATGGTCCACACTCTTCCTTCAAATTCGTCAATAATTTCTCAGCTGGTCAAGTGTTCCATCTCCTTTATGAGAACACGAATAATCACTGATGTTTTCAAAAAGCAGGCCATTAGATTGTAGAGCCCACAGTCTCACGCTGTCTTTATCACTTTGTTTCATTTCATCTACATCTAGGTCTCTCTAGTTTTCTCTTTTCTTCGCGTTCTTCTTCCGAAAATTTATATGCTCTCTTCAGCTTTCCGATGCACGATGCCCATCTCATCTTCTTTCATTTAATAAACCTATCAATATCAGGTTAATAGCACAAATCCGGTAAATCGACAGGAATTTTCTCCATCATTCTGTTATTTTATCTTTCCTAGGTTCAGATATCCTTTCGACACTTTGCCCTCGCATATCCTCAATTCGTTCTTCTCTTGATATGACAAATTTCATTTTACACCCACACAAAACAACACATAAAACTATAGCATATTGTATATAATACATTTTAACATGTATTTAGACATGATACTGGTTTATATATTTTCATCTGAATCATTGAAAATATTTTCCAAAATCAATGTGATATTAATTTCGTCATGAGTATAAGTTTTGTGTATAACTCGGACCACCTTATTTTCCATTGCTTGCTGGTCTATGCCGTACAACCAATAATCAATCACTGTAACTGATTGAATTATTCCACCTCTTCGCCAAATCAAAATTATTTCAAATAAAATGTATTGCTAATAAAATTCGTCTTCTGGGTTGTTGCGCCGTGTAGTCTGGTAGACGTTTTCCGATGTTTCAGAGGTCCTTGCTGCCTACATCTTCAGCCATCTTCGGATATCGATACATTTTATTTGGTATAAAGCAGAGGTTCCATTTGAAAGTTCAGAAGAAAAAATATTCTTCCAAACAGCGAAATTAAAATAAATTCAGTTTCCTATTATGATTAAATTTCCTTCTGCTCTGGAGACTTTCTCTGTTTAACTTCAGTTTCTGGTGTTACTTTTCCGAACTTACTTACAGTCTTGTTTCTTAAACATAAAAGGTTTAGCCTACAGAACCCGAGTCCGATGGTGGAATTGCTATCATATCCCCTAGACAGGTCAGTCGCTGCTCTGGAATGGCCCGTGACCTTCGGTCTTAAAAAGAGGATGATCCTATCGGGAGCTGAGTCTCCGATTGACGCCATCCTGGAGTTCATGATCTCGCCATATCAAGGCACTAGATCCTTGAGACGGATATCTTGTTATTATTTTTAGTATAAGTAAAATGTTAAACAGCTTTTTAATTTTCGACGCACACCACTAGCAGTTTCTCGTTTCAGAACAGAAACCTTCTTATCTAAAGAATTAAAACACATTAAGTTTATTGTAGCGGTGAATCTTGTATTCGAGAGAATTCTGATTGATTCTTGAGCATGTTATCGACTATCTTTACTGTTTCAAGGTTTTTCCTGTCTCTTCAAGCGAATGTTAGAATAGTGTCTCCAAATAGGTCTCAATCGCCTCCTTTCAAACCCTTGCCTAGTCATTATTCGTAATTATCTTGCCATTTTATATGCTACATAACCTCTGCAGCTGAAACAGGTAATAAATAAATCGATTGAGAATAACATAACTGTTGTGTGCAGGTTCGAGACGAGCTGGCAGCCCAAGCGTTGAAACCATATGAAGAACACCTGGCCAAAGCAGATCTCGGCGACAACACTCGCTGCATAACCGACAACTTTTCTTTCTCATAGTTATCAGCTTATTGCTTATATGTGTCTCGGTGGTTGACTGTCGTCAGTGAGTTTCTAAATGCAATTCAGCAAAACGTATTCTTTAAACCAGTAATTACAAAAGTTAATAAAACTGAAATAGTAACTCCACGATGCGATGTGTTTACTTTGGAAGCTCATACTCACTACATTTCTTAAGAGATTTCCCATTTTATGAAACCTAGATTATCTTTGTTGTTTTCATAAGAACTCACTATTGTTTGATTTGAGGTTTTCACAGCGATGAGTATGAAGACTTCTGTCTTCTGGGTTGTTGTGCTGTTTAGTCTGGTACAGGGGTGGGGAACCTTTTCATGTTGGAAGTCCGCATTAATTTAGCTATAATCAAATAAGGCAGCATTCAAGAAACTTCAATTAGATATACTTAAAAGTGTACATTATGTGGCTCTGGGACCCACCCAGCCTCCTCTACAATGGGTACCGGGATCCTTTCCCGGGGGTAAAGCCGGCCGGGGCGTGATGCTGACCACTCACCCCCATCTAGTGCCGAGGTCAAGGAAGTGAGAAGCTATACCTCCACTCACCCCAAGCGCCTACATGGCGTATAGTGGGACAAACTTTACTTTACTTACATTTGTTAATTTTAAAGTTAACTAATCTTTTAATGACTTTGTTGTGTCTGCTTTTTGTTGGAAAATATTTGAATATTTGGTTGCAGCATGTATTAATAAAAATAAAAATAAAAGGATTTGTTCTGTAAAATTTGGATTCAGTCAAAAGGCCGCACTTAAGGACCTAGAAGGCCACAGGTTCCCACCCCTGGTCTGGTAGATGACGGAGTCAGTATGACCTTTGAAACGTTGGTAAACATCGACCAGACTACACAGCGCTACAACCCAGAAGACAGAAATCTTCAAACTCACTATTAACCTCATTCTAAACCAGTTGAAACTCTACCACAGTTTAAACCTTATTCCTTCAAGATCTATTTTAATAATACCCTTTTATCAATGTCAATATCTCAAGTGTGTTATCTCATTTTGAGGATTTTCCAAATGGAAATATTGTATGTATGTATTAGAGTTCTATGCGTACGGAAATAAGGCACAGGCTATCTGTCTTCAATCCTGAATATGGAGGTAATGTTTCTCTGAAACGTCCATAACAACCAAGTCCACACAGGAATAGAAACAGGATATTACAGTGTCTTTTATGTCTTCTGACGTGCGTGTGTCTATATTTACGATGCATAAAAACTGGATGCATGTTTGTATGTTAATGTATTCAATGAACAGGTGACGGTCTATAACCACGGCCGGGCGGATGGGCGTGCCGTGTCAGCAGTGCCGAACGCTTTGTGAATTCCAAGCGCGTATGCAGAATGCTGATCTGCCTGCACCTTACGCAACATCGTATTCGTGTGTGTGTGTGTGTGTGTGTGTGTGCATCAGTAGTAACATCAGCCTTGACTGGCAGCAATGCCCCACCACGAATATTTCTCGTCTCAGGTTCTGACAGACTAATCCCTCAAAACGGTTAGCTACGGCATGGCAGCTAACCCTGAAATTGACGCCCGACGTATTGCCATGCCAACATGTTATGATTCTTCCCTTTCTGTTTAGTGACGTAAGAAGTACTGAATAGATAGAGCGTTTCAAGTAATCATCAATTTCCCACAAGGCTTGAGTCTTGTTAATCACGGTGTGTTCAAGTCTGTTAACACCCGTTGCTGTGTTCTGATATAAAACAGAAAAGTGTGATGTTGCAACATTGTGCGCATAACCGCATTTCCCAACAGACATCTTCAGCTCTAAAGTAAGTGGTGGAAAATATATTCTGTCTTTCAATACAATTTTTTCCGTATTTCTCGGGACTTCTTGGTTCTTTTAGTCTTCAACCACGAAACTTCGACTTTCGGTGGAGGAGGCTGGCTGACAAATGGCAGGACTTCCATTTCGGATTCCGCCAGTATAGACTTTGTACAGATGAAATACGTAAGGGCGTACACCGTACACAAAACAAACGAATCGTTGATCCGCGAATTATTTTTACAGCATTGTAGCACTGAGATAACAGGATATTTTAACTTTGATGACCTTGAGATTGTACATACCAAAATCATTGCTGCTACTATCGCTGGCCTTGCTATAAAGCGAAATTGCGTGTTGCGGACCGGTGGACTTCACGGGAGGGCAGGAGAAGTGTCCGCGACCTCGGGTGAGTTTGTACGCTTAAGAAAAAAATAAATAAACTGAACTACGGGATGGCTTTCACAACTGCAAGTAAAGAGCAGCAAATTCTTAACCTCAGTAGAGGATGGAGGTAATTGGTCAACCCACGCTCCGGCCGTTTTCATCCAAGGGATTGAGTCTCCGGTACACTGGGTTGGGCTACGGTCGTAATGGCGAAGAGAAAAATCCTTGTCCCTGCTGGGTCTCAGAAAACTGTTATCCATTAACTTTCTAAAATGGTTAAAAAGAGGATAAAGGAAACTGCAATTTTGATAGTTGTTTTGTACGGGTATGAAACTTAAATTGCAAGTGTCTAAAGTGATAAGATATATTTTGAACATAAGACGAAGTAAGTGAAAAACGTGACGATAAACTTTGTAATTTGCAAACTTCGCATATGTTATTTACGTATTCCGTGGTTCTACAGTCCTCGAGGGACTCCGTCCACCTCAGGTCTGGAACGTTTTTTAAGCTCTTTTATACAGTTGATAGGACGCCTTGGACACGTAATCAGGCCGTCGTCAGGCCTCTATCTACGCAGGAACAGGGCAAACATCCATGCCTTGGGCGGAATTCGAACCTACTATTCCAGTGTCCGAGCGATCACATCCCACCCCCGCACCATCCCAGACCACATGACCACTTCGAATGGCATGTAATGTTGGGAAAGAAAATATTGGAGGACCCAAGATGGGGAAGCAAATAATTAATAGGCGTACAGAAAACTAGGCCTAGATGTATATAATAAGATATTTTCTTGTTTCTTATCCCCACTTTGCTGCAATATCAAAACAACGAGTTTTCTTAATTTAATTCAGCGTTCTGAACTGAAGGGACCTGCAGCTTTGGTGGGAATCCTTGAAGTTAAATGTGACACGTAGGGACTATTGTACACATAAATAGATTATTTAATTATATAATTATAAATTTATAATAGCTGCTAGCCTGTCCATGCAGACTGAAGGATTTGAAGGGACGTAGACTTCGTACATAGTTCACAGGATTTCTTCTTAAAAGTGGTTAAACTGGCGAAGTTTGTAGAAAGCTGAATCAGAGCCGATAAATAACGAATGAGTTGCTGTACATGTATTTGGTGAATTGTTAAAGGCGGTCGCTTCATTGAAACTTACTAGGCAATTAACGACACGATGTACTGGATGTGTGTTTGTCAAAAGTTTGGAAACTAACAGGCTAGTAAAACTTACCAGCTGAATCAAAGTGAATAAATAATGTACTACGTAGATACTTGTTTGTGACAGATGGTTAAACATTACTGAAGTTACCAGTCGATTACGAGCCGATATATAACTTGCAGGTGCTGGAAATTAAAACTTGTTTAAATATTATGTAGCTTAATGTGCAATGCAATATTTCCTCCATCAGCAATCGGCTACTCTGCACACTGTTACACCGACTTTGATTAGGCTGTATATGATTGCTACGAAGTCTTCCGCGTGGTAGTGCTGCAGTCGGCACTGTTACTTGTTGACATGTTGTACCATCAGTCAGGAACACGCAGCCTGGAGGGATAGGTTGGTGAATAGTCGAAGGCAGCAGTAGAACCTGTTGGCAGCATGAGTAAGAACAGTGAGTATACTGCATCAGTGCACGCATCAAAGTAAAATATTTGAATAACTATTCTTTTTGTTTGTCTGACGTATTGACGGTAGTAAAACTTTACAATTCAGTGAGAAGTACATGAACATATTTAGTGTAACCTCGCATGATGCGATCGAAATCTAAACTTATCTCTTGTTGTTTTTTGTTTCATGCATGAAGGACAGATTATAGGAAGGTCATATGTGCCGATTGTGTGTTTCACTGCCGAATTTTGATCAAATGTAGTACTAGGAATTTGCTAAAAGTTGTACAGCGAATTTAATTTTTGTTTTAAGCTTGACTGTTATTTTCGACATTGTTCACCGTCTTGGTTGTCTGTCAAGAACACATAACGTTTCTGAATCAGAAGATGTGAGTGAGTGGTCAGCACCACGCCCTGTCCGGACTTAACCCCCTGGGAAAGGACCCCGGTACCCATTGGATAGGAGGCTGAGTGGGCTCCAGAGGCTAGAGGAAAAATCCTCCAGCCCGTAGCTAGTCTGTATATTGACTGATCTATCCCAGCTCGTACACATGTCGGTCCATCATTTGTAGTGCGATGTTCATGAGAACTGAATTAATTCAGTGCACAATAAGAGAGCATTCATTCATATCTGCCCTGGCAGATGAAGACTCTATTATATGTATTATCAAGTTTTTACACTGAAAGTTTATATCGAAATTTTTAAAATTCCGCAGAGACATTATAAAATGTGTAGCCATTGCCTCCCCCGAATAAATACGTTCGCCGTATTCGAAAGATTACATTGAAAATGTAAAACATTTTACACGAAATGTACTTCGTTATAGCTGAACATGCACAAGTACAGTATAAAGCCAACTCATCTTCGCAGGTGGTGTTAGAGAGCTTTGTGTCACGAAGTATCTCCTAATATAGCATCCTAAATTGCTCACTTCTTCCTTCTTATGACCAAATACTTGCGTGAACACTTTTTTTTCAAACTTGTAATATTTATGTACCAAACCACGTTTCATACCTGCACAAAACAAGAAAAATTATTGTTTTATATACGTGATCATCAGAGTTTTTTTAAAGCAAACCGAATACCAGCGTATATTAAACCGAATAACTGTAACTGTTTCCATAACGTATTCATCGACGAAGGAATACAGTTAATAGTAATATGTGGTTCCCACGGCAGTAAAGATTTTAATGTTGATCCTCTGGGTTGTAACGCCTTCTGAACTTGTACGTTGTCTGCCAACGTTTCGGAGTAACATAATTTCTACATATGCAACACTGGCATCTTGGTTATCTTCGTACAAGTCCACACGGCGTTACAACCCGTAGGACAAATATCGGCATTTATTTATATTCATTGACGTAATTTATGATTAGTTGGCAGCGCGTATTGTTTATAACTTTAAAGTGGAGTTGTGTGATGTTCAGTAATGAATTATTTTCTGTTGTTTCATTTGGAAGTCATTTAATCTATGCAAATAATAGAAGTTTAATTTCGCAGTCCCTTCGCTCGATCTTAATGCGCACAAGACTTCGTGTTCTAGTAGTGATGGCGGCCTACATACATTTAGTAAAGTCTATATTTAACAGCAGCCCTGCGGATACACACACACAGCAAACAAATGAGAATGGTTCTTGTACTGACAACTGAATTGTATCAGCTGTGATCAGTGGAGTGTGAGAACTTTGTGCCTTCAAGCACGGTAATGATGATGGAATATATCAACGCAGATCACGATCCCAAATGGGAGGATAATATTAATTTTTAAGAATGAAATGTATTCCCTTTTGTGTGCAAATAAATTAGGTACTTGAGATAATTTTACATCCATTTGTTGACCACGCGTTAAGCGCCATTTTTTATCGTTCAAGGTCGTCTATTTAACGTAGACATAATAAACAGAAACGAAAATTCTACATTCATTCAACCCTTTTCATTGTCTTCATTTTATTTCAGAATGTATAGAGTCTGTTGTTGAATAATCACAAATGGTTTAACTCTTCACTGTTTTCATATGCTTCCGGTCCTTAAAGTAATGGTGTGAATAATTTTATTAAAATCCGTGAAGTAGTTTAAGTATTGTTAGTGGAAAGGACTTAATGACATACATAAAACATGGTTGCTCAGTTAAGTGCATAGGGCACCAAATCTCGGTCGGAAATTAAAGTTGTACTTTACCACCAACTTTTTAAGGACCCTGAAGTCCACCCAGCTGCGTGTCTGAAAGTACCAAAGAGGTGTCTACATCCTGAAGCTGACCAATGTCCTATGTCGAATTGGCTCGAGTACGTGCGACTTCTCGGCAAAAATCCTTCACCGCATTGCGTGTTGCTTAGACACAGGGGCAACATAATTTGCAACTGGTTTTGTAAGGAAAGATAGGCTTGCGGTATTCCTTTATAACTTTTAATTGTCTTTTTCTTTATATTGTGTTTTAAATAATATTAATACCGGCATATAACTTCTCAGGTGGGAGTGACACTAATGTCAGCGAATATCCTATATATTTTATACGTTAATGTTTAGAAACGTAGAATTTCCTCAAAGTAAGTTTTTAGAATGTAAAGCAACACCGTGGCAGCTGCTTGAAACACAGATATAGCTTTCGATTTGATGATAAATATATAATGAAGCATTGGAGTTAGTAATTCAACATTTTGTTTGGAGTCACATCGTAAAAACACATACAAATTATGTGTGAAACATTTTATTTCATATGCCTTGTGCTATACATTTGAGTACTTTACAGTAGTTGAAATCTGTACTACACACACATACGTAGAAAGTAATCATTAAACTGTATAATTATTAAGGTATACTCTCTCTATTTATATTCAAGGATTTTAGGGAAGTGGGCATCATACGTTCTCTCCAAATTTTCTTGTTAACAGTGCCATATACATAATATAGTCTGTTTATATCAAAATACGGGGTGGTTATAAATTATTGAGCGCATTTCAGAGATGAATAAGAAAAGAACAAATTAAAGTACTCACGTGTATGTTGTTATATTTAATAGGCCATTTCAAATAGTTTTATTTACTTCACTTTAATAAACTTCCACATGAGCTCCATGTGTGGCACGTAAAATATCCAGGCGCTGTTGAATTTCGCGCCATGTGTTATGGAGCATTTCGGCAGTTATACCACCAATGACTTCACTGATTCATCTTTTTAGTTCACCAATGTCGCGAACATTCCTTGCGTACACCCTGTCTTTCACAAACCCCCAAAGAAAGAAATCCAGGGGTGTAATGTCGGGGGATCGAGGTGGCCAGGGAATCGGTCCTCCGCGACCAATCCAACGTTCAGGAATTTCTTCCTGTAGGTAGTTCCGAACAATTAAACCCCAGTGTGGAGGTGCGCCATCTTGCTGGAAGTAAACGTTCGGTTGTCGGTGTTCCATTTGTGGTATTGCATAACCCTGTAACATGTCGAGGTATGTAGTGCTAGTCACTGTAGGCTTGATGAAGAAGAATGGTCCGATCACTTCATCTACAGCCAATGGGCGCCACACATTAACTTTTGGGCTATCTCGTTCTTTCTCTCGAACTTCATGAGGGTTTTCTGTACCCCAAATCCGACAATTGTGACGGTTAACATAACCGGAAACGTGGAAGGTTGCTTTATCAGAGAAGATTATTGTTGTCTTGGTCGATTTCATCAAGGATGCGCACGGCGAAATCATAACGACGTGGTTTAACGTCAACTTGTAGTGCATGCTACAACTGGATTTTGTATGCATGAAGTTTTAAGAGCTTATGCATAATAATTTAAGAACATTCTTTTACACTTTTGCTTTCACAATGATAGAAGTATATACAGTACCATAAAAAATAACACAGACTGTATTAAATGTTAATTAGGAAGTTGAAATAGAAATAAACACAGAGAACACTGCGTAGAACGGGATATCGGCTTTATTTCGTCTGCGATGCGATCTATCGGGACGGGGTGAAATACCATTAGTAGACAGCACAGGGTTAAGTCATGTCAGTCAGCGCCATTTTGTGGTTACAGTTTCCGAAATAATCTCCCATGCTGGATTTTGGTTCTACATTTTACAATTTTTTCTCAACGTAAAGTGAAGGTAAGACCTATTCATTATTCATATCCACTTTGTTGAATGACACATGTTACAAGGTGATTTCTTGAAAGTCTTAAACACAATATTTGTATTTATTTTTATGACGTCATTTTTGGTGGGACAATCCTAATTTGAAAGAGTATACTCGGGGCAGGATGGGGTAGGACGCAGAAGAGGATAAAATGACGAGTGCCAGTATTGCGGCGATGTCTATTCGCAGTCTATTGAAGGGTGGATCCGGTATTCGTCTTGCTTTAAATGGGCCCATAACTCATGTGCAGGTGTTGATAGTCACGATGATGAAGAGGTGCGCACGTGTGCCGTCTGCGTTAGGCCGAAGTAGATTTCAAATATGTAAAATTTCGACATTTTACATTGTATATTAAATCATTTTTATATCGTACGCCATAATTATTAGATAATCTGTCTTCTTACAACTTTTCAAACATGTGTCAACCATATCCCGTCTTGCCCCGGGAACGGGGCAAAATGGGATAAGTTACATTCTTGTAAAGAAATTAATATTTAAAAAACTGTAACTCTTAGAACTAAATTAATAATTCATTATAAATTTCAAATAGACAATAAATCCACACAAGGTTCCTCCATGTGTTTGTCTTTGTTATTGTCCCTTCCACATGCCTCCAAAGATTTAAGTTCTCCGTTCTACCGTGGTCTCCCTTATACGAGGTGCGATCGGAAAGTTTCAAGACTGCGCATATAAAAACCCGTACACTTATCTCAGGTATTAAATTCATCCATCACCCTCGAAGTAGTTCCCCTGGGAGTGAACACAACGATCCCACCGCCGCTGCCAAGCCTGGAAGCATCCCTGGAAATCTTTCTTTGCCAGCCTGTCAAGCACCATCTGCGATTCTGCCTGAATCTCTTCTATCGTCTCAAATCTCCTTACCTTTAGCTGAATTTTCATCTTTGGGAAGAGGAAAAAGTCACACGG